TTTATATATATATAGTACAATATACAATATATATATATATATATTTTTAATATTATAAAACATTTGATAAAAACTTTTAAAAACCATTTTTAATGCATGAAGTACTATATATTAATGCATATTACTTAAAATTACAAGTAATTTATGCATAAATACAACTTATTAAACTTTTATGTTTGAATTCGTATGACTAACTGAGGATAAACATAATCAAATAGAGAATAAACATTTCATTTTAAAATATAAAAAAATATAATATATAATTAGAATAATTATCGAGTTCTAACAAAATAATTAATTATTATCTTTATAAGAAAATTATATTATTAAACCAAATATAAATTACTTAACCTATATTAAATTTGAATTAAAAAATTACATAAAAAATAAGAATTTTAAATAGTTAATTTGATATTAATATTGATTTATTTTTGTCAAACTTTTATGAGATTTTCAACTTTATATTTTATTCAAAAATAAAAACACCATCGTCTTTTCAAATTCACACAAGACCATGTCATAACATCGACTGAGATAAAGAATAAAATGAAATATTAAAATACAAAAGTATCTCACTGTATTGTGCAAGTACCCTTCTAATTTTTTTTAACAAGAATTAGGGAAGTAGCCTAAATGGACAAAAATGTCCCTACCACTTATAGAGAAAATTAACAGATAGTGACAATGAACCACTTTCAAAGCAAAATGAGAAACAAATGATGATTTCTAGAGTTATCAAAGTTGTAGGTCCCAATTTCAAATATTTCACTAAACCGCCGACCAAAATTAGAGTTCGCGCTTTATATTATTACTATTCAATATATTTAATCGTCCAAAAAACAAATATAATAATTTCCAAAATATTTTTGCAAATTACATAAAAGATAAAGACATATGTTTCTTTTGTTTCATATATGATAGAACTTCGACATGTATATACACAAAACACACACACACACATATATATATATATATATATCAAAGTTCATTTAAGAAGTGATAAGTATTTGAGAAATAAAAAAGTGATCTTAGTCCTTTATTTGGTCAACATTTGCGGCTTTGACTGTAATGCACCTGATAATTCCTCGTATGGGTATGCGCAAGATAGAGGGGTAGTTTCGTAACTTTTACAAAAAAAAGGCAAATGGGTTGATATGTGAATCTGTGTGATTCTGATTCACATTGAACTATATGTTCATATGCGAACCCGTTAATTAGTTAATATGTGAATCACACGAGTTCACATGTGAATCAGTTAATTAATTCATATGTGAATTAGAAAGGTTCGTATGCAAATAAGTTAATTAGTTCATATGTGAATCACACAAGTTCATATTTGAATCAATTAAAACAGTTTATATGAATCACACGGGTTCACATATGAACATATAGTTCATATGTGAATCACACGGGTTCACATATGAACATATAGTTCATATGTGAATCACAGGGGTTCACATATGAATCCGTTTACGGTTTACCATCTATTTTTAACTATCCCTCTATTTTTTGCATTACTGCAAATTTGACCAGTCAAATCCGATATTGATCATATTACGGGTTAGGATTGTTTCTTTATTTCTCAAATATTTATCACTTCTCACAATAACCTATATATATATTAAAAAATATTTAATTTAATATTTAAAAAACATATCAATCAACTAAAAAATATAAGGTTGATCAACTTTTGTTTTTATTAATATTATATACAACGGTCATATGAAATCTTAGGTATTTTCTAAAATTTATATTTGATTATACAAATCCAATTTTCAAATATTATTTATGAAATTATAAATCAAATTTGAAATATATTAAACAACACATTATATTATTTAAATTTTTAACAAGTGGTTTGCATTAATTAACGTATTATATTATTAGTGAATTGCTTTATATATATTATGATACGTTAAGTTTTATTAATTTTTAAACATGTTATTTTTGGTATTTTACATATTTCAACTAGTTTATCAGTTAGTTTTTTGTTAAACGTATTTAGTTCATCAATAATCAACTATCAGTTGTAATCTCCAAAACGAAGAAGTTGTTGGAGATGAAAATGACTCTTCTTTGAAAATTTTGACTTTTGAATTTTTCATAGTGGATAATCTATTAAATATGCTTTTATTAATGAGATAGATTCCTCAAAATGGAGAAAATGAAGATTTTGACCAAATATTTTACTATTCTCTAAGTAGCGTTTGGTAGGCAGACATAATTGGATATGACTAGACAACACAAAACTAGACAGGATTGGATGAGAATGGACTGGACAAAACAAATGTCGGTCTTGTGTTTGACACGACTATGATTGGATAGGACATAACTAGACAAGTTGTCTCCGAAAGTTATTTGATGATTTTATATTTCATATAATAGTTATAATCAACACATATAAAGTAAACAATTAAATAATTTAATTTATAAATATTTTTACACAATTTTAGTATATATATAATAATACCAAATTTGAATGAAATTTTTGATATAATTAATGATAATTTGAAAAAACTTAATTCGTACAAAGGAGAAATTATGTTTTATTCGTTTTAAAATATTCTTATCAATTGGCAAAAGTACAGTAAAGATTATTGCGACAACAATGGTTGTGAAGGTAGAGGCATTGATGATTGGTGGACGATTATGGTTGTGGATGACTTGAAGATGGTGGATAATGGTGGCGGTGGCGATCGATAGTGGTAGAGGAGGTAGCTGTGGCTGATGTGATGGAGGTAGTGGTGGTGGTTATGGTACAAATGGTGATGGCAAACGGTCTAGTGGTGATGGATATGGATGGTGGTGGTTGTGGAGGACGTGAAGATGATATATAGTGGTAGTGGTAGCCAATGGTGGTGGCTGACGATAGTAATGGTAGTTGATGGTGGTGATAGGCAGTGGTAGTTGGTGGTGGTTATGTTAGAGGTGAGGTGGCCCATGGTAGTAGGTGTTGGTGATGAATGGTGGTGGTTGGTGGTCGACGATGGCTGTGAGGTGGTGGAGGAGGTTGTTGTAGAAGAGGTGAAAGTGACCAACAGTTGTAATGGTGATGGACGATGGTGGTCGGTGGCCAACGATGGTTGTGGAGGTGGCGATGGACAATGGTGGCTTGTCTTTTTATTTAATTGCTAAACAATAAAAATTATTTAAATTGATTTGATTGTTAAAACATAAAAATATGTAATTAAAGTATTGAAGTAAACAACTATAATTTGTATGATATACTTTAGGAATAATTTTCAAACTCTTATCAGGTAAACGCTTATTTACTTTATACAGTATCATTATTGGCCATTAAAATGGATTAATGGTAAACGTTTGTAACTCGATAAACGCTTAAGCGTCATCACTCTCACATCTCACTGACCAGGTAAAACTCACGATTACTGTCTTCCTTCTTGCTGAGTAAGATTTTCGATATTTGTTATGTTCACCTGACAAGATAATTGATCCGGTAAACACTTATCAAAGTAAGTGTTTAATAAACAAGTCCTTAATATTTAAATTTGTATATGCCATTAATATATAAACTAGAAAACTTAAAATAAAATTTAATTAGATCACTAAATTGGTGAAATAGACCTTAAGTTTGTCTTTATTTAGTGGTTTTTAAATATTAAAACAAAATTAAATGATATGATAATCATTTTATTAATTTTATGTATCATTTTAATTCGGTTTAATGTAGTGTAGATAATTACATATTTCCTATTTTAAGACAATTTTAAATGAAATAAACTTTTTTTACTACTAAAATTGTTCATCGTATTTCTAACAGATTTTTTAAAATAGAGATTTTAAGGATTTTTGTTCTAACAGATTTCTCAAAACCTTTTCCAAAATAGATAAAATACGGAAGAGAAGATGACAATTTTCAAATTTAGAGATTTCTTAAAAAATGATTACTTATAAAACATAAATGATTTTTTTACTCACTAGAAGAATACTCGCGCAATGCAACGAGATACATCTTGATTTTAATGTTTTGTTTTATATTTTGAGTCTATCAATGTTATAATGCGATTCTATGTGGTTTTGAGAATTTTTTTAAAACAAAATATAAATTTGAAGATATCATAAAATTTTGATAAAAATAAGGGATATTAGTATCAAATTAACTATTAAAATTTCTTTTTTTTGTGTAATTTTTTAATTCAAATTTTTTTGTTATAATTTAATTAAATTTTAAAAACAAACTAATTTATTTTTGGTTTAATAAAATAATTTTTTAAAATAATAATTAAGTATTCTGTTAGAACTTAATGATTATCTTAATCATATTTTAGATTTTTTATATTTAAAATGATGTTTATCATGTATTTGATTATGTTTATCTGCAGTTAGTTATACGAATTCAAACATGAAGCTTTAATAAGTTGTACTTACATACAATCAACTTGTAATCTTGAATTTTAAGTAATATGCATCAATAAACAATATTTTATGCATAAAAAATTATTTTTAAGAGTTTTCGTCAAATGCTTTATAATATAGTATAAATTCCGCGAGATTGCTTGAATTTAAATGTTTAGACAAAAGAAACAATATTTTATTAGTTTTTTTTGAATAATATAATTTATATACGATAGATGCAACAAATAAACTCATATATTTTTCTTATCTTTGGTAATGTTTGAACCCCGACCTCGTAAGAAGTAAAAGACTATTTAAAAATATTTTATTAGTTGTATCGAATATTTTAATAATCTTATTATTTATAAAGATTTATTTTAAAAACTTGGTGATACTCATTTATTTTTTTTATAGTAAACATTTGGTATTTACACACACGATAGTGGCGCGTGAGAGTAAAGAGGGCGGCGCGTGAACAGAAGTGCGTGGCATTGACACACACAAAGGGCTTGAATGTGTGTAAAATGGGAGTGAACAAAGACACGGTTAAAGGAAACGCGAAGGATTCGTAGACGCGCCACGATTCGGTCGGATTATTCATCTCCGAGAAAACCTACCTTTTGACCACCTACCAAGCCCAGTTTGTTACCATCCATCACCTTCTCTCTCTCTCCTCTCACACACACAAACACCAAAAACACACACTAGTTCTCTCTTCTTCGATAGTTGTCATGGTTCCCGCCTATCGACACATCAATTCCTAAACCCTAGCTTTCTCTGGCTTTCTTTCTCTCTCTTTGTTCCCCCTTTTTAATACTCTTTGTTACTTCTGGTAAGTAATTAAAGAAAAGAATACATATTTTTCCTTTGAATTTTGTAATGCTAAAATAGAGTGGTTAATCACTGTTTTGATCGGAAGGGATCTGGATGGTGATTTTTCTTTAATTATTTTTTTTGTCATTGAATTTGATTCAGGAAAGAAAAAGATTGGGTCTTTTTGAGGGTTTGAATACATGTCCTTCAATCAATCAAGGGGTGATAAGAACGAGCCGCCACAGCACAGAAAATTGGGTCGATCCGGTAACGCTGCCTTGCAAAGGAACTACTCCGGGGGTGGCGGGAAGGGCGGCGGCGGAGGAGGTAGTACCACCGCCCCACCATCCTCCTCTTCATCTTCTTCTAATAGAAGGTAAAACAAAATTAGGGTTTGCTATATTATCTATTCCTGTGTGAATTTAGGGTTTGTTTTAACGTATTTTTATTTCAAGATATGATGTTTGTGATCTGTTTTTCTTTTTCAAGCTTTAAGAAGGTGGGTAATTATGCACAAGGAGTACAACCTAGGGTAAACAGTCCCAATATAAATTCGAATTCGGATTTGTTGAATTCTTCTACTCCTGGAGGCACTACTGTACCTAATGGCGCACATTTACAACTGCCAGCACGAGGTATCCATGCTCGAAACTGCATTTCATGTCCATAATTTCATGGTTTATAGAATGTACTTGCTTTTTTATCATAGTAAATGCTATTGCTTTGATTGAATAGAGTTGGATCCTTCTATCTAGAGTATTACCCAAAATTCTTCCATAAAGTGTGATACTATCTGATTTAAAATGGTGTACATTTTTTATTTAAATTTAAGCGATGAAGAAAACAAAAATTTGATGGCTTCCTTTTTAATTTACATTATCATGTTATATGGCCTTGAAGATTTAATTATGTGCATGTGTGAATTGTTTATGATTTCATATCAGTATGAACAACTAGTATCTTTATCGGCACACTGCTTATAAAATTATTTATATACATTGTAGGTGCATCTGGTGCTCCAGCAGCGGGTGCTACTATAAAGCCATCTGATGTATCAACCCAGAAGAGCACCCCAGGCCTACCAAGGGCTCCACAGGGTAATGCAGCCGTTCCCAGTTCTGATGCCACTGGTCCTTCGACTCCGACAAAGGGTATGGCACTTGGTGTTTGACACGTATTAACTCCCTTACCTCAGCTATTAATAGCCGAGTTATAAATTAAGAACTTTCATCTGGTCATAAGCTTGAGTTTTCCAGTGGACATGGTTATAACTTGTTGCTATATATTTTAGACATCATGGGCATCAAGAACGAGTGTCTTTAGTTGTCTACTGATACTCTTTTCTTGTTTTTAGGGCCAGCAGATGCTTCTAGGGCATTTCCTCTTCAATTTGGGTCAATTAGTCCTAGTTTAATGAATGGGATGCAGGTAATGTTACTCTTTGCTAAACCTTTTGCTATAATCTCTTTAGAATTTATTTATACCCAACAATTAAATGGCCCGATGACTTGCTTGGTAGCATAGATTTGTTATAAGCATCTTGTTCTTTTGGTGTTCGTAGATTCCTGCCCGAACCAGCTCTGCCCCACCAAATTTGGATGAGCAGAAACAGGCCCAGGTGTGTTATTCTATACTCTTTGTGCTTGGTGTGAATGTTAACTAGACATTGAGCGGTGTCTGTAGATAATCCGTGACAAAGCATATGAGAGTATATTTGTCTATAGTTGAGATACATGAGGTAAATGATTGAATTAAGTATTTTTAGTATTTCGGATATTAAATGCCACTTTTACCATTAGTTTTGAAAACCAGTAGGGCTCTTGGAGTAAAATAAAAGACTAGAATAGGCTTTAAAGGCGCTCAAGATGCTAGGCAGGGGAGGCACTTAGGCTGGGTCAGTTGTTAGAGGTTCAGGTATGCATTTTTGAGTAGGTGGCTCTAAGACGAGTGCCTTAGGGCCTATCTTGAGGCGTAATGACTAGGTGCTTCAGCTAAATGGAGTGTTTTGACAACTTCTCTCTTGAAACTCGATCTAGTTAAGCCTTAGGTTCTTGATTGAGAAATAAGGAGAGAAAGAGAGATGAGTTAGAGAGAGGAAATTTGAGTGTTGATATGAGAGATAAAGTGACTGAGCGTTGATTCTAGCGATCTGCTTTGATTGACGAGCTTTGTTGTATGCATTATCTTCTCTCTCTGTTTCTTTTTCAGTTCTGCTTGGGCCTTCCTTCCACTGAAAAATGATTTATTTTTATAAAATCCCCTACAGAGTTTCATTGTAAGACTTGTGCGTAGCTGTTATTGCTAAATTCTTCCATGTGGGTCGCAAAAAAACCCAATTATTGTGAAAATAACATCTTGACCCTATATAATACTCGATTTGTCCCAAAATGATCAATTTGCTCAAACTTAATTTTTTTTTTAAGAACTTCTATCATGATGACAAGTAAATAATCAAGGTTACTTATAAAAGAACTAGCCTTTTATCCTAGTTGGAATACAGTGAAATTGGAACCTAAAGCAAATAAAAATGGTGCAACCCAATAGCAAACATTGATAGCCAAAAGGTGAACTCCTAGGGTTTTGGAACATGATTGACGTCCCTTCCATGCACAAATATCTAAGGTTGGCTCCTTTGGTACGTTCATGGGGCCTAGGGGCAAGGGGCAAGGCGCAAAGCGCACTTAGGCACAAAGGGGTCCTGTGGCCTAGGCGTAGGCGTGAGGCGCGGGCCTCAGGAATGCGAGGCGCATTGTATAAAAAACAATATACATATATATATATATATAATATACACATAGTAATACACAACTCAAATACCATTATATAGAAAGTAGTAATATCAACTCAAATGCCATTATATAAAACATAGTTCAATTTCAATTTCCAAAAGGGAGCCAAAAAAATAATAGTATACATACTTGATACTTGTATGTAGAAACAGTCAACAGGTAGCAAGTAGCAACAAGAAGTCCAGAAGAGAGCCCTTTGTGAGGAAAAAGTATAAGCCTCCAAAGCAACAACCAGAAATCCAGATTTCAGAAGAGAGCCATGAGGAAGAAGTATAAGGTTTAAAGCCGTGAGCTTGGTTTAAAAATGCGCGCATAATGCTCTGTGATGCGTGATGCGCTGTGATGCGCTGAAGAAAACGCATCAAAGGGTCTGATGCGTTGCGTTTCCATGATGCGCTCGCATCACCTACGCATCACCTTTGCATCAGCGCATCATGTATGTTGCATTTTTGGGCTCCCTTTTTCAGTTTTTAGTTGGGCTTTTTAGTTGGGTTTTTTAGTTAATTAAAATAGAACATGAGACTGTGAGAGACCTAATAGAAGAAGCCCACAACGAAGAAGTAGAAGTCGCACTGTGAGAGACCTAGCATCGCATATCAGTCAGACATTTACTTGTGTTCTTCGTGGTAGTAGTTTGTGTGTTATGTACTTCTGTTTTTCCGATTCACAAACTTTTTAAGATTCTAATGCCACTTTTTTAACTACTTTATGTTATAAATGAAGTATTTTGATAGGTAAGTATTTTTAAGGTAGAAATTGATATGTAGAATTAATTTATAAATATTTTTTGAATACCGGGCGCATCACGTGCGTGATGCGAGCGCATCAGCATCACGCATCATGCATCACGCATCGGCTTCCGGGACCCTTAACGCATCGGACAACATCGCTCTTTTTAAAACCAAGGCCGTGAGGGAGAGCACTATGTATGGGATGTATGTATGGGAGGTAATTTATAGGAGATGACTGATTAGAATTGAATAGACTTATCTAGTAACTCTTTTTTGTAGAAGTCTAGGAGGTTGAAAGACATAATTAATATTAGGTTTTGACTTATTTAATAACAATTTTTTTGTGGAAGTTTAAGAGACAAGAAAATTATTTGAATTTAGGGCAGATCTGTATAAGGCGCGCCTAAGCCCATTTTGCGCCTCAGCCAAGGCGCTGTGCCTTTGTGCGCCTCAGTAACTCGCGTTGCCTTGACATGGAAAAAACCCAGTCCTTTGCGCCTTATGGGCGCTTTTCACAACTATTTGTCCATGCAAATCTCTTTGTAGTACTTCCATCTATGTTATTTTTGGTCAACCTCTCGTGGTCTTAATGATCTTTTCTTGGTGCAAGTTTTTTTTGTGTCAATGGCTTGAATTGGAAATGGCCACCTCTCATCCACATTCGTGCTCCCCCTTGTCTTATATACTCTCATTTGTAATCTCGGCCCATAGTATTGCAATGTATCTATCCCACCATGTCTCTTGTATACACAGTCAATAAGATTTTCTTTGGGTGGCTCATGATTCATCCTCATAGATCATAGTTTGTCTTATCTGCACCACTACTTCCGTAATCCGTAGGACTTACACTTCTACCTTCAATGGGTTAATGATGATCAAACAAGACTCTGGAAGCTTGATGCTTTTTCAATCATTTTGCTATCCCTTGCATTTCTCATTTATATCCATTTTCTTCCAAACTGATCCCAGATAAGTAGCTTTTTTAAATTCATCTTTCACTTTTTGATTGGCACTCGTAAAGTTGTATTTTGTATACCTTGTTTTGTTCAACCTGATGGAAACTGTCAAATTCCAGAGACCTCCAATTTTGCATTAACATTTTATCCTTAGTGACCACTATGTATCATTTATCAATAGCTAAAATAAAAAATAAAGGCTCAAGGCTGATGGCATATTAATAGTGAAATTTCTATATTATCATCTCTTGTTTTTATGCTTGTTATGGTTTAGTCATACATATTTTTAATTACATTAACATACCTGATGAAGTCTTCTTTCTTCTCAAGCGCCAATCATCTTGACTCATTTGGCATCCTGCCATGTGTTTTCTTTAAAACAATAAACACCATTTGCATTCCTTTTCATACCTTGGATACTTCTCCATACGTTGCCTAATCAAGAAAAGAGTCTCTATTTGTTGATCTCTTCGGCATAGTTAATTTTCCAGAGTCTTAGTATCAACTCTCAGCTAATGCTTAATAACATTATTGTTTTATTGTATGAGTTTTGTCCCTTGATAATTTCTGTAGTTTTGGATATCTCATCGTATCTTTAACTAAACGCCTTGTCTTTCATCCTTCATGTATCTTATGCGACAGAAATACCTGGTTTTCTTTTATCATATAGCAAACTTGTGCTCTAACATTTTCTTTCTTTATCCTTTTATTTCTTGTAATTATTGCATGTACTTCACTTCTAGCTTTTCTTACTAGATTTGTAACTTTTCTCATGGCTACTTTAAGGTTCTATATATTCTTCAGTCTCTTGTAACAATGTAAGAGTTTATAGCAGTCCCTCTTCTTTTCAATAGTCTTTTGTATATCCTCATTCCACTACCTAGTTTCTTTAGTTTCATTTTACCTTTTTATTTTATTATTTTTTTGCTGTTATTAGAATACATGTGCCATCTCTTACCAAACCTATTAGCTTCCTTTCCGACACCTCCTTTTAGGGTCTATCTATGCTGTTACTGCAGTCAAAATACAAAATATCGGTCAGGACCGATATTCGATATTTCGGTTATATTGGTGATATATCGGTCCAAAATAGCGGTTAATATAGATATTTCTTAGAATTATATATATATATATATATATACATATATATATATATATATTATGAATGCATCCATAAACCTATCATATGCATTAATTAGAGTTTAGAAATATAGTTTCAAAATTAAAACATCACATAAACAAGTCTCACAAAACAAAATAGGAAAAGTGTTAAAAAACGAGCTAATTGCAAGCAGTAAGCGTGAACTGTGAAGAACCTAGAAGAGAAGAAGCGTGAGACCTAATATATGTGTTGACTGGTTGACCAAATAAAGAGGCCCAAAAAACTAAGCCCAACATGTAATAAAAAAACCCCAAAAATTTGTCTTATAGAAAATCATTATATCGGATCGATTTTTCCATCAAAATATCGGTGAAATATCGGCGATATTATCGGAACCGATATTTTTCCAGAGACCGATATCCGATATATCGCGATTTTAACAGCGTAGGGCTCTATCACCTAGCTCTTCATTTTTCTACAACCATACACTAAGATTGTGCCTAATGGGCATGTGTGCCCCTAAAAGCCCATCTGGCCACACACTTTTTGGGTGTGCCTTAACAATTCATGCATATTGTTTGATCCCTTTTCTAATAAGCATCAAGTCTATCTAACTAGAGCTTTGGCCATTGCTTAATGCTATTAGTGAGATTCATGTTTCTTTATGCTATCATAATGACAACTCATAAGCTACTACACAATTTGATATTCTTCTCATTCTTGTTTTCTTAGTACCGTAATGGAAGTTCTCATTTTTTTTACAGAATTCCTTCAATGCCTACCTATGAAACATTAACATCATGGCTTATAAGAAGCTCGTCTCTCATTTGTGTGTCCCGACAACTTCCAAGTCCGCCTAAAACTTTTTCGTTGTAGATCTATTGAAGGACATATGAACATTCATTGCTACCTCCCTATCCACTAGTTTTGCTAATATGATTCTATCCTCAAATGTTCTAAGCTTAATGCCATCCTTTTTTTTGTAACACTTGCTCCGTTTCGAGTTCCAACATCTTGTGAATTCTGTCACTTAAAATCTTCCTTCTCACTCTTATTAAAATTTTCACCTGCATACTTATTTACATTGCAATACTCGCTCTTCTTGGCCATAGGACCTCCTCTACAGTCCTGCTGCATGGTTGTATGGTTGTATCCTACTCTCTTGGACTAGCTTTCTTGACCCTCACCACCACCTATACAATAAGGCACAAACACATTCGGTTTTCCACCATTCTCATGGATAGATGTGGTGTGTCACTATCGGAATGGCGAGCCAAGCTCACTTATTTCTCACTATTCTTGGCTTCCAATGCTACCGGCAACTAGTAGGGTTACACCTTAATGAGATTTCGTTTATTTTCATTTTCTTTTGAATAGCTAGATACAAGGCACTGGATCGCTAAGCTTGATGCATGCACTTCCCCTTCATAGGCTATGGGACAAGCTATACAAAAATACATGAGAAATGTTATAGATGAAAATATCAAAAGATTATGTTTTGCCAGATACATACAAAATTGATTTCTTATTGGTGAAATTTGATTGAATATATGTTTGGAAGTGACAATGTTTTAGAGCTAAAATTGATGATTATGAGATAAAAAGTGTGCATTAAGTTGATTTTCTGTTTAACATTAAAATAAACCACAAAATATATCAAAATCATAACAAATGGACCCAATATCTCCCTGACAAGGTAGGTGGGGGGTGGTCAAGGATGTATGGCAAAGGCATAATCTTTTTTTCTTCTCTCTCAAATAAATGCGTCATTGGTTCCAAGTGTAAGGAAATGCTTGACGTTTGGTTAGCTCTCCTCGCCTTTACCCTATAGGGTAAAGATGTTGGTTTCGTGAACCCCAACTTGCAGAACAAAGATACAAGGAGACAAGTGAGAAAGGTAGCATAATCACACAAGCTTTTGTGTAAACTAGAAACAACCCACAATGAAGCGGGGACACAGAAGAGGCATAGAATAAAACAAACAGGAAGATAAACAAAGACTGACCTTGTAACCTAAAAGTTACCTCTCCACTTCTCCCCCTGCCCACCCTCTACCTTGAATATTTCAATATTGAAGAAAACCTAAAAGGCACATTTAAATAACAGAAAAACTCAGAAGTTCTAGAGTCAATTTTGATGTGAATTGGAGGGAGTAAGAAAATTATAATATTTAAAAAGGTATTTGTGCCTTTGGTGTATAGCTAACGCAACAACTTGGTATGGATAGTTTTGAGTTAACTTTAATAGCTCATATATATAAAATAAACCTCAAGTAGTGATTCAACAAGTCAAAGATTTAAAGTTGAGTGGCTGACGAAAAAATTTGTAAGTTGTAACAGTTAAATAAATTGAGTTGTAACAACCGAGTACATGAATACTACATTTATTTATTTATTAATCATGTTACCTTCTAATTATATTAAAATAATGAATAATCATTTATTAGGTATGTCCATGTACTAATTCGGATGGAACTTATTGTTCTTTCTTTCCATAGGTAACTTTTCTTTAAGTTCTTATATATTCTTGGATTGTCATATTGATTCACAAATGAAGGTTCCTAATGCAGATATCTTTTGTTACAGTAGAATTGTTAGTATACTTAGATTTCTATTTTTGTTGCTCATTTAAATATATCTATATATATGTGTGTGTGTGTGTGTGTGTGCGCGTATCATCTTTTAAGTGGATGCTCCAAATCAAAGATTAATATGGGACATTAGACTGGTGGTAGATTAATATTCCAATATTTGCTACTCATGAGCAACCCATTCGAGCTGATACAACAATGCTAACTTACCGATATAACTACGTCATAGCTCAAATATGGGACATTAGACTAGTATTACTTTTTCTTGTATAAAATTATTGGGTGATACTGTGCCTTGCGCTTGCTCCTAGCATGTTGGATCACCTAGAGCTATGTCGAAGAGGTGGCAAAATGGGCAGGTTGGGCGGATTGGATAATGGATTGCAATGAGTCCTAGGGCAACCATACCGGGTTGACCCATTTTGTTTCTCTTTGTCCAAACAAAATTTTGGATGAAACCCAATTATAGGAACTATTACTATTGTCATTTAAAAGAAAACCAACTCAAAATCATCTAACAGCTGAACATAACAGGGAAATTGCAATTATAATATTAAAAGCATCCAAGTAGACACAATTATCACACTCTGGGTTGAAGATAATAAGAGAAACCCAAAAAAAGAATCTTTTTTGTGAACTTTTATCTTTGGTATGATGAAAATCAACAAAAGTACTTCTCTTCTGATGATGTTTTGAGCCTTGATGGTCTCTCTCTCCTGTCCCTCCTACTTTTCTTTTAACGGTCTCTGCTTTTCTTCTAATCGCCTTTTGTTCCATTTTGGAAGATGCTCAATAACCAATAGTCCTCAGACAATGAGTGTTTTATCTTGCCTTGTATAAAAATTAGAAAACCAAATTCATATTTTTTGCGCAGATTATAAAACCCATCACCAGTTTCATGCAAATAGAACACATTCCTGTGTAGATGAAGAAACACTAATTTTAAAACGAACAACCTAATAGATGAAGAAACTATAAGAAACGGGAAATAAGTCAATAATGAACCTTAATTCCAATGTTAATGGATACCAATTTGCTTAAGATTAGAGATTTGAGAGAAGGTGAGGCTGATTTGAGAAAAGTTGAGAGAAGACGAAGATGAGTTCGAAGCAAAGCTGCGAGTCTGTGATTTTGAGCAACTGTATATGTCTCTGATTTGGGTGGCTCTTTTCAATATGTGACCTGTATGACCCCAATTTTTCTTTTTATTATTTTATTTCTGGTCGTTCTAGACTATGATAATCTTGATTACCAGCATATAACACGAACTGCGTTGCTGTAGCCGATCATGTAGCCTGCACAGCAATGCAGATGTATATTATTCTTGTTGTTGCTTGTTTTCTTATTTTCTTTTTTTTTTGTCTGGCAGGCTCGTCTTGAGGCATTAAAAGCTACTAAAATTCCGACTTCAGCTGTCCTGAAACAGCAGTTACCAAAGAAAGATGCTGGTGTCATTGATCAATCTAATGCTAGTGAGGCGCATTCTGTCCCAAAAGCGAAAAAAGATGTACAAGCATTAGCTACTCCCCCTGCAACCCAATCTCAAAAGCTTTCTGGCCCCTCAATTCCCGGGGTTCCCATGCAAATGTCATTTCACCATTCTCCACTTCATGTTCCATATGGTGGTCCAAATCCACAGATGCAATCTCAGGGAATGGCAAATAGTTCGTTACCAATGCCGCTCCCTATACCTTTAATGGGCAATCCACCTCAAGTACAGCAACAGGTATTTGTTACAGGTCTCCAACATCATCAGATGCAGCCTCAGGGGATCATTCATCAAGGTCAAGGTCTGAATTTCTCGTCTCAAATGGGACCTCCCCAAATGCCTCCTCAGTTAGGAAATATTGGAATTGGTTTAGGACAACATTACCCGCCACAGCAGACAGGAAAACTTGGTGCTCATCGTAAAACCGTCAAGATTACTCATCCAGACACACATGAGGAGCTGAGACTAGATAAACGGTCCGATGGGTATGCAGATGGTGGGTCAAAAGGTTCAGGCCCTAGGCCTCATCCTCATGTGCTGCCTCAGTCTCAGCCGGTTCCAACATTTCCTCCTGGTCATATGGTGAACTACTATTCTAATTCCTACAATGCCAACTCCCTTTTCTATCCACCACCCACTTCTAACCCTTTGACTAGTGCACAAACTACTCCTGGTTCTCAGGCACCAAGGTTTTATAGCCAGGTTAGCCATCTTCTCCAGTTCTCCTGTTAACTTGTCTTCATTATTGGGGCTCCGTTTAACTCATTTTTGTTTATAAGAGGGCCCCCAACACTAAACCTTCTGAAAGTAAAGATTTGATGTGCTTTTTGTGTTCATGGTGTGATAATCTCTATGCAGGTGACTGTAAAACCAGCAGCTAATGCACATGATAAGGTTAGTGATTCATCATTGCCGGGTAGCTTGCCTGCTATTGACAAAAATGAGCTCCCCAAAACTCCAAGGACGCATGGAGAAACTTCATCCACTCATTCTCAAAGAGACCCTGAAACCAGCAGTGGAAGCTCTACACAACATCCAAACTACACTCTGTCGCCTATGGCAACTAAACCAACTAATGCGACATTTGGGTCTTTCCAGTCCGAGAATTTAACCAACTCTTCCTCTACTGCTTCTGCTGCTACCGTTGAGGATTCTGTGCCACTTGTGAATAGTGAGGCGGAAGTTGCAAAAGAAGCAACAGTTAGCAAGTCTAGCTCCTTCAAAGAGGAACCGATAAAGCCAGGAAAAAAGGTCCAATATACCCCCCTAGATCAGGTACTTATTTGTTCTTCAGCGTTATTTTTTCTTTGGGTCTTTGTGCATGGTTATTAGTATAATGTGTCTTTTCGTAGTATGTGATGCATTATGCACTTCTATTCACAGGTGGGTGGACAATCAGCCTCAATTTCAACGTCTATTTTAGAGACAGTAAAGTCTTCGACTCCTTTCACAGGAACCAAAGAGGAGGTTTCCGAAACCAGCAAAAAAGTAGTGCCTATAGCTGTTACCGCCAGTGCTCCTGGCAGCTCTTTAAAAGGTAGTAGTGGTGAAGAAGGCCTCAAGTCTATTGAAACAATTGGTAGCGAGACTAATTCTGATAGCTCTCTCAAGATTGAAGAGCCAAAGGCTGAATCGGCAGTGTCAGAAGACCAAGGATATGTGACAACCAATGAGCCTGAGCAACATGAGGTTGCTACATCCGTAAGTGATCTAGATAAAAACAGTGGTGCCATGGAGGTAACCATGACAAAGATCGAGACTGGATCCTTGGACCCTGCAGTGCCTGCCATCAATGATGATAAATCTTTGCCATCAGCTTCTGCAGCAGATGCTGACGTTCTTAGTGCTGAAACTTCACTTAGTTTGGGGACTTGTCGTGGGGATGATATCTCAAGTTCAGATGTTTCTTTAAGTACGCTCGTTAACATGGGTGCTGAGGGTGCTGGCAATGGAGAATCTGGTACATTAGATCATGGTTCTGCTGCTGTTTCAGTTTCTGTTCCAGACAGACCACCTTCTTTTGATGGAGAAGATGTGGGCAACAGGGCCAGCTTGATATCTCCTACATCATCAGGTTCCATGGATAAAACTTTATCAGATACTAGCAAAGCAAAGGGTAATACATCTAAACCAAAGAAAAAGAAAAAAGAGTTTCTAAAATTTGCTGATGCTCAGGGGACAACTTCTGATCTTTATATGGCGTATAAAGGTCCAGAGGAAAAGAAAGAAACTCCATCTGCTGAAATCGTAGAAAACTCTTCTGCGATAACACAAAAGCAGGCATCTGTCGATTCATCTGAGAAAGCTGTTCCATGTGATGAGAAACGTGGCCACAACAAGTTTGAGCCTGATGATTGGGAGGATAGAGCAGATATTTCTACTCCCAAACTTGAAACCTCCTTTAATGGGAAGTCGGTCGATGGGATGGCCAAAAAGTATTCCAGAGACTTCCTGCTAAAATTTGCCGAACAGTGTACTGAACTTCCTCAAGGGTTTGAGTTTACTCCGGATACAGCCGATGTAGTGATGTCAAATGTTAATGTTTCTCGTGAACCACATCCAAGCCCTGGTAGAGGTGGTGATAGAGTACCACCGGGAGCTCGACTAGACCGCCGCCCAAGTAACGTTGGCCATGACGACAGATGGAATAAATCACAGGGACCTATGGGTTCAGGAAGAATGCAAAGTGACGTCAGCTATGCTGGAAATACAACCAATTTTAAACCGATGACTGGAGGGAACTACGGCATGTCACGGAACAGGACACAGACACCGGGTCAGTATGGCGGTGGCATCTTGTCTGGGACAATGCAGTCCCCTGGCCCACATATGCAACGTAATAATTCCGATTCTGACAGGTGGCAACGTGTGGCTGGTAATCAGAAGGGGTTAATACCCTCTCCCCAGACTCCAATGCAGGTGATGCACAAAGCAGAAAGAAAGTATGAAGTGGGTAAAGTAACAGATGAGGAACAGGCCAAGCAAAGGCAGTTGAAGGGTATCCTAAACAAGCTGACTCCTCAAAACTTCGAAAAACTGTTCGAGCAAGTTAAACAAGTGAATATCGACAATGCTGGAACTCTTTCTGGTGTAATCAATCAAATATTCGATAAGGCTTTAATGGAACCCACTTTTTGCGAAATGTATGCCAATTTTTGCTCACGTCTTGCTGTAGAGTTGCCGGATTTTAGTGAAGACAATGAAAAAATCACTTTTAAGCGATTACTTTTGAACAAATGTCAAGAAGAATTCGAGAGAGGAGAACGGGAAGAAGAAGAAGCAAACAGAACCGAGGAGGAAGGTGAGGTTAAGCAGACAGAGGAGGAAAGGGAGGAAAAGAGAATTAAGGCACGGAGACGCATGTTGGGTAACATCAGACTTATTGGCGAGTTGTTCAAGAAGAAAATGTTGACCGAGAGAATTATGCACGAATGCATAAAGAAATTGTTAGGTCAGTATCAGAATCCTGATGAGGAAGATATTGAGGCATTGTGCAAATTGATGAGCACAATTGGGGCGATGTTCGATCATCCCAAAGCCAAGGAGCATATGGATGTATATTTTGACACCATGTTTAGATTGTCAAATAATATGAAACTTTCTTCAAGAGTGAGGTTCATGTTGAAGGATGCTATTGATTTGAGAAAGAACAATTGGCAGCAAAGAAGGAAGGTCGAAGGGCCAAAAAAGATCGATGAAGTACACAGAGATGCTGCTCAAGAACGGCATGCACAATCTAGTAGAATGGCTCGTGGATCAAGTTTCAACTCGTCAACTAGGAGTCGTCAACCCATGGAGTTTGCACCCAGAGGGTCAAATGTCTTACCATCTCCAAATGCTCAAATGGGTGGTTTCCGTGGATTGCCCCAACAGCAGCCTCGTGGTTACGCCAATCAAGATGCCAGAGTTGAGGAAAGATCATCTTTCGAGAACAGGGCAGTTTCATTTCCGTTAAGACCCATTGGTGATGACCCTATAACACTTGGTCCCCAAGGTGGTCTTGCTAGGGGGATGTCAGTTAGGGGACAATCTTCGATGCAAAGTATGCACTTACCCGAAATGCCTAGTCCTGCAGACCCCAGACGGCATGCAGCCGGCCCAAATGGTTATGGTTCTGGTTCTATACCAGAGAGACAAACTTCTGGTCCAAGAGATGAATTTGTTCCTAGATACACTTCAGAGAGGTTGGCCCCTTCACCTGCTTATGATCAGTCGCATGTTAACAGGAATGCCGAGCACAATTTTGATCGAGGTATGCCTTCTTTGCCATCTCCACGAGTCTGGATGCCTACTCCTTCACCAAATGTTCCTGCAGATAAGGTCTGGCCGGAAGAACGTTTACGTGATATGTCCATGGAGGCAATCAAGGAATTTTATAGGTATTATCACCCATCATTTCTACTTTTTTCTGTTTCATTATGCTTGGTTATTAACTGGTGCTTGTGCTGCATATAGGCTTTGGCGATATCTTATTCTTCTCGGTATATGCTGTCACTGCAACAAAATCGGCTTTATAGGATGCCAAATATGTCTAAATATCTTAATACACTGCTTTATAGGATTAAATAATTGTGCCTTCTATCTATGTAAAGGTGTTATGATAAGTTGATACGACACTTTTGGGCGTTTTAACAAGTTTTTGATGATAAATTTTGAAATATCGCATCCTATTAGTCTTTTTTTACATGACATTATTTCGGAAAGTGTGTTATAAAACAAGTGTCCTTTAAAAAGACACGTTCATATCACATTTTATTTCAAAAGGTCCTGAAGAACTTGTTCAGATGTCCAAAACGTCCTAACATCTATCGTAACACCCTTCTATAGGACACATAATTGTTACTACAAACTCAAGTCCTGTAAAGTAGTCTATTTGGACATTTATACATCTTTGACGTCCTACAAATTCAATTTTGTTGTAAAACGTGACTTTATTTTGTGGGAGTATTGATTAACGTTTGGTTAACTTTTCAGTGCAAGAGATGAGAAGGAAGTTGTTCTATGCATCAAGGAATTGAACGCACCCAGTTTTTATCCTTCAATGATATCCATCTGGGTCAGTGATTCATTTGAGAGGAAGGATGCCGATAGGGATTCACTTGCTAAGCTTCTCGTCAATCTCACAAAGTCTCAAGATGGAGTTTTAAGTCAAGACTCACTTATTAGAGGGTAACTAAAATCTTATTGAACTAGTTGTACTTTTCAAAAATTTCTTACACATACCATAAATATCCAGAGAACCAACTATTTCATGAATTATTCATCACGATATTCATAATGAACAGTTGGTTCAAGGTTCTCAAAGTATAGATGCATGCATATATATAAGGGTATGAGTTAATTTTTGTTTCAGATTGGAAAGTGTTCTTGCGAGTTTGGAGGACAGTGTGAATGATGCTCCTAAAGCAGCAGAGTATCTCGGGAGAATCGTAGGAAAGATGCTATTGGAAAATGTGATACCATATAAAGAAGTGTGGCAGTTGATATATGAAGGTGGAGAGGAGCCAGGACGACTGGTTGAAATAGGGCTTGCGGCTGATGTTGTTGGAGTGATTCTGGAGATGATTACATCGGAGAAAGGTGAAGCATTTTTGAACGAGATTCGTGCAGGCTCTAATCTTCATGTGGAGGGGTTTCTACCTCGGAATAGTACAAAAGCATCGAGATTAGACAAGTTCATTTAGATGAGATGAGATGAGATGAGATAGAAGTGAGTGATGATGCTCATTAGAGAACAAATATCCAAATCCAATGGGTTAGTAGCAGCAGCCAGCATCAGCAATATATATGTTTTGAGGTTTTTGATGGGTTCTTTATTCTAAATTTGTTAACTTGAAAAGATTATCTGCAACTGCAAAAAGGTTCAAAGGAGCATCCAACTTTTTCTTCAAATGCTCTCTGCTTCTTTTTTGAATGCTATTACTATATATATATATATGGGTTCTTTATACGAAGTGTTCTCGCATTCTCGTAAAATGAAGGTGAACCATTCCCTCATATATATATATATATATGCATGCTTAAAGTTGGTATATATTCTTCATTGGGTGGGTTGGTATTTTTGATGTTTAACTTTGCGGCTTGGCCAACACTAACAGGAGACAAAAGCATGTGATGCTTTGGGCCTCTGGCTGTGTGGAATAGTGAAATGAGTACCAATCAACTTATTTAATATTATTTATTTAAATTTTCTTTTGTTATTTAATTTCAATAAAGTGATGATATGTTAGAGGTTGATGGTAGAAATGAAGCATTTGATGAAAATTAGGCTTTTCTTTTGTTGTATTCCTAATAAAGATCATAGTAAATTTGGATGTCAATATCTAAAGCTTCACATGTATGTTTGATGTCTAAGCAACTAGGGCCGTTTACCATACACTTATCAAATCATATTACCTTATCGGATGAATATGATAATGATAAAAAATCTTACCCGGTAAGAGCAAAGGCAAGGACGGGAGTCTTACCGAGTAAGTGAGAGTGACAACTCTTACCACGGTTAGCGCTTATCAGATAAATTGTTGCATAAGATACCGTTTTGGTGGACTAAAATCTTACCTGATAACTAAGTGATAGCGTTGAATTTTATAGGTAAACACTTATCAGATAAGCGTTTGGTAAACGACCATAGTAAACGGCCCATAAGTGTATTGAGAATATCTTTTACATACAATAAGCTTCATATGTGAAGCTATTTGTACAATGACATTGATTGTTAGGCATATTATTTGATTTTGATGCGAATATGTGAAGCTTCACATAACAAACGCACATACATACACACACACACACATATATATATATATATATATATATATATGAAAATCGAAAGTAGAACTTTTGAAGTTGGAGAACATATGAACGATCAAATATAAAGCTATATTGTAGATGATCAAACCAATGGCAACAATTATATTGCCCGTTAGACACAATATTTGAAACAACCGTTGAAGTAATACATTTCACATGTGAAGCTATGTTAGAATTCTACATATAAAATCCTTACAAACGTAATATTTGTCATATAAAACTTAATATAATCACTCCTCACATATGAAGATCGATTGAACATGCTTTAAACTTTGCAGATGTGTCATACATGAAACTGTATTTTTATGCATTGTGATCCAATGCCCACGATATGTGTATTCTCATGTGTGGTGGCTAAAGAAGCTTTATGTGTGAATCTGCATCGATTAACAAATTTATATAAAAGAAACTCAAGATTACATAAAAAATATCGATGAAACTTAATAATAACAACTGGATGCAAAATCAATATTAGATAAAAGAAAAACCAATATTATACTTATTTTATTTAAAAGTTGGATAATTATGTATTAAAAGACTACAAAAATAGGATGTTTGAAAGTATTTGATTATTTGTAAGCAACAAAAATGTTCAAATCAACGGCGTGATTGATTTGAACTTGGGTTCCAAAGGTCAAAAATGCCTGGAGGTCCCAGGTTCAAATCCAAGTAGAAATAAAAACCTTATTGTGGTCACAGTGGTTTAAATGCGGTGACTTTGGGCTGTCCACAAAACAAGTGATCGTGCTGCGGTTAGTCGGTTCACATAGCGGGTTTTGGATATCTAGGTTAATAAAAAAATGTTGAAATCATTTTTCAGTCTAAGAATATTTTATTCTTGTTGAAGGATAAGCGTGCATCATCTAAAGTATATGACGATAATGATAAAGATAAAAATAAAGCTTAAAAATAGAGATATATAAAGATAATAATAAACATATTAGAGTTAGATTACTATTATGTATCTTATGGTTATCTCTTTGTAACTCATCCCTATTTAAAGGACTTATGATTAATGAGAATAAAACTAATTTCTTGATTCTCTATATTATTTGTTCTACAACACGTTATCAGTACGAACGCTCAATCAATAATTCGCGGATCGACTTTCGAGCCTTGAACTTCATCAACTAATTCGTTCATCGCTACTACAATACAAGTAAGCTTTCCTTGAATAATATATTGCTAACATATATTAAATTATGCGTCATTGTGCATCTGTATGTTTTGTGTCATATCATTCTGTTGCACTGTATACACATTGTAAGAAAAAGTGAGTAATACATATGTGCTTTGAAACCGGTAATTCACTTAACAAAGATTGATTGAAAATTCTCATGTATTATATATGTTTTTTCACCTACAATATTGTTTTATTGATTACGTTATAAGTTTTGATTTATAGATCAAATCGTAATCCTTTATGTTAAGAATATATACAAGATTACTGATAAAAAAAATATTATCTCCACATTAAAATAGATAATTGTAGGTGATCTGTATAATCTAAATATAAGGAAAAGATGTACATAGAATATTACATTATCGTTTCCTGTTAATAAGTTGTTAATTAGTGTATGTGTCTAGGGCTGTAAACGAACAGAACGTTCAGCGAACCGTTTGTGAACCGTTCGGCAGGAAGTTCGTTTATTTAATAAATGAACGAACATGAACAATTTTTTTTGTTCGTTTGGTTAAACGAACGAACATGAACAAAAGTCTTGTTCATTTATTTATGTTCGTGAACGTTCGTTCATTTACCGTTCGTTCGTTTACGTTCGTTAATTTATGTTCGTATATATATTAAATTTGATATATAATCTTTTATTTATTTACTTTGAATTCAAATGATATTTATTTATGTTCGTTTAGACCGTTCGTTTATGTTCGTTCGTTTAGCATGTTAACGAACGAACATAAACGAACACAAACACACCTGATTTCTAAACAATCGAACACGAAAACAAAGATTTTTGTTCGTTTACCGTTCGTGTTCGTTCGTTTGTTCGGTTAAGTTAAACGAACGAACATATATTTTTTTTCACGTATGAGGGGAATCACTTTAGAAAATATTTTTTCCCATACAATAACAAAGCAAACATATATGCCAGACACATAGAGGTTGTAAATGAACCGAACGAACACGAACAAAGGCTTGTTCATGTTCGTTCTTTTGGATTTCCACGTATGAGGGGAATCACTTTAGAAAGTATTTTTTCTAAATTACCGAAATCCAAATATTTTTTCTAAATTACCGAAATCCAATATTTTTTCTAAAAATCGTTATATGTTCGTTCTTTTGGATTTCCACGTATGAGGGGAATAATTCCTAAATATTTTTTCTTTTAGAAAAAAAAATTATCGATACGTGATTCCCTCATACGGGAAATTCAAAAGTGTCTTTGCGATTTATTTTCGAATATTGAAATATTGATATAGCATTATCACGAAAATAAATTTTTAAAAAATATCAATATTTAACAATATTATACTGCCAATCTGCCATGATGATGAAAATTTCATGTGCATCATAATTTGTCTTCATAAATTTAAAATATTGTATCTCTGTTCTATATAGATGGCCGAACCAAGTCGCCTCAAATTTGATATCTTGAATTCAGAAGGACTTGAATATCATAGATGGGTATTAGATCTAGAGACTATCTTCATTGGAAAGGACTACAGTTACACAGTCAACCCCCCACCGACCCTAAAAATAAACCATCTGAAAAGGTACAAGCAAATGCCTTAATGTTCTTGAGATGACACATAGATCACAACCTCTGCTGGGAGTACCTCCAACTGAAAACCCCCAAAGAATTGTGGGATGCACTGACAGAAAGATTTAGGAATGTTCATGACTCTTCATTTCCCGAACTAATGGTACAATGGAATAAAATCCGCTTACTCGATTATAAAAGATAAATGATTTCAACAAATAAATTTGCGTCTCAAAGCACGTTTAAACTTTTGTGGCAATGAACTCACAGAAGATGACATGATTCAGAAAACTCTTTCCACTTTTCCTACATCGACAATCATACTAATGAATCAGTGTCGATTGGAATACGATAACAAACGACTCACAACCTTTAATAAACTTATCAACCTACTGCAAGTGGCTGAGAGACACAATGAGGTTCTTTTAAATAACAATGCTAGACCAATCAGGGAGTCAAATCATGCAAGCGTTAGAGGTGGGAAGAACTCCAAAGGACAACGAGCTAAACATACTGAATCATACATACGTGGCAACTATACACCATAAGGACGGGGTTGTGGACTTGGTCGTTGACAGGGTCGCGACAACAACCGTGGTGGATTTTCCAATTCATGGCACATAAATGCAACTACTGGCCCAAGTAATCAAAGACAATGAAAAAGGAAAAGCACCAATGATCGATCCTGCCAAAAAAGAAAGAGACGGAACTGAACCTTGCTACAGATGTGGCACTATTGGGCACTAGTATAAGAATTGTCGTGTAAGCAACACTGTAGCAGCCAACTATAGGAGATACAGGGAATCCAAAGAACAAGAATCTCACTACCTCGAAGAAACAAACAATGATCATGAAGTCAACCTAACAATTGGAGATTTCATCGATATCAATAACAATGATCCATCCCTAGAAACCTCAGATTTTAACTAATACGTTTCACCTTTATTTTCTTTAAAGACAATAGTTATTGATATATTATTAGTTTTAAGTTTTGCGATTTTTTGGTGAACTTTATCGTTTGGATTGGTGGATTATTTTTAATAAACTTTAAATTGTGTTTATACAATATCTAAATCATTGATGTAAAGTAATACGTCAAAACAAAATTATTAAATATTCTCCATTCCTTATAGGAATGTATCGAGGAGAACTTGAGTGCTTAGTTGATTGTGGGACCACTAACACAATACTAAGAAATAAACTATTATTTACTGAAATAATTGCTTATGAATCATCAATTGCTACAATGATTGGATCATCCATTGCTACAATGATTGGATCATCCAACTTAATACTTGGTCGAGGAACTGCCATTTTCTTGTTGCCTAATGGCACTAAAATAACAGTCACAGAAGCATTCTA